TTAGTGGTCAACTAGATTTCTGCAGAACATTACATATATGGTAATCTTAATGGGCATGCTGATCTGTCTTTTCTTCCAGCATAGGTCCCTTCTTTATGGACAGAATGGAACATCACAGAAACTCTCCACAGGGCACTAGTCTGAAATATTCCATAATTGTCTTTCATATTTTTAAATGTTAAATCAGTTTTTATAATAAAAATCTTTGAGAAATCTCTTTTGAATAAGTACAATGTGATAATTAAACTACAATAGCTAAATCATTGTTCAGTCAAAAGCTCTTTCACTCTGTAATGCATTTAACTTCTTAACAGCAAGTTCCTAAATGGACAACCCTCAAATCAAGCTGTTGGCATTTAAAATACATTCAAATATATAAAGGACAGGCTTTAGACATTCCTTTTAAAAATGCATTTAAAATAGCAGACCCTTATCACAAAATCAGCTGGCTATCTGAAGACTAGGTTTGCGGTAATCAGTATACAATAGAATGCAAGTTTCTTCCCCTATCTTTAGACATACAAGGCTTGATTGTACTCTGATGTGGAATGTTTTAATTATCTACAATCTATACTATTAGCTACAATCTATAATTTATAAACATTCCTGCCAACTTCCAACAAGCAAAGTCAATGGACAAAGCCAAATTTGCTTAATATATTTGTTATCCTAGTTCTTATATGCAGAGAGGACAAGTATTAAAACACAGTCACACGTTTTCTTCAACCAAGTACCTTCCATAAATTATATGTTGTTATTCCAACTTCTAATTCCCAATCAGGTAGCTAATTTCCAATCAGGAATGAATCAAGACAGAGAAGTATAGATAACGAAGAGCAAAAATGAAGAGATCTATGGGCCTAGGGAACTGCATGATAGACAAAAGAGCACTTTAGTAAGGGCCAGTCTGGTAAGACTGCAAGTTGTTAAACTTTTTAATCAATCAATCATCCAAACAATCATCAAATATTACAGCATTACAGAATTACAGTCATAGATCAGTATGATGCAGTCATTAAAAAGAAGCAAAGTGGATGTGTTAGCCCTTCAGGATAAGCCAGACAAGAAGCACAACCACGAATACTATATATCTTTATCATAAGGTTACATCAACAGAATTTGGCAAGACTGAAAGTATTTATCCTTTCCTTTTACTCTCCAAAAAATTAGTGGGGATCCCTTCTGAAACTTTCCCACATACCTTCTTCTTTGGGCTGAGATATCTTTTACATGCAGGTTGTCCAGTCTGTGGCTTTTTCCTGCTGTCTATCATGGTCATTCCCACATACCATTACATATATACACTCACATACATACATACATGATATCAAAATTATGTAATAATTATAATTATGATAATAACTTGTCACTACTTAAATCTTCATAAGCAAACCTGAGTTTTGTGCTCAGGTTTCTTGTTCCTTTTAGAAATGTGAGAATATGGATTCTACCATCTCATGGTAACACCTGTCTTAGGATATTGTGGAATTTGAGGCAAAGACTATATAGTAAGTGAAAAGCTTAAAGTGAAAAGTCATATTCCGTGTGTTTCCATTATATTGGTACTGTAACATTGGAAATAACAGATGCTGCTTTCTCTTATTCTCCTACCTACTCAGAAATGGATCTCTCTTTCTGTTGATCACCCAGTTGGTCACTGGGACCAGAGCTGAGCTTTTGGACTCATGCTGGAACCAATCCTCAGGGAACTTCTCTGTATAGGGAAGAAGTTCCCTAGTATGTGCTCCAGCACCAGTGGTGGTTACAACTGGTATGCCCCGGTACAGGCGTACCAGTGCCTGCTGAGAGCACCAGATACCCTTCCGGTATGGTGTTCCGGAGGGCCCACCCGCCCGCCCACACTCCTTACCAGTATTTGAGGTTTTTGGGGCTTTCACGCATGCAGTGTACAGCGCCTGCTTGACACTTCACCAAGCAGCTGGAGTGTCGTGGAGCATCATGGGCAGTAAGTACGCGCACTGCATGCGTTCATGTGGTGGACGCCCGGCTCCGTTGCACTCTACCAGTTGCAACGGGATCCGGAACCCACCACTTTCCAGCACATATCTGAAAGCTCAAAAGGCTAAATTTTTGGTTCCAGTGACTGACCCAGATTGGATCCTGCAACAAAATTCTGGGACATGCCTTCATTCTTAAAAATCTTTTATTTAAAATCTGACAAATTGTGTTAAAACTAAAAGTTGAATCTGGAAGTTACTTATGCTAATTTGAGACATCTCTTGAAATGATGAAGCTTGCTGATTTAATAGTATTTTAATGAAAAAAATTAATAAAAAAGGTAAGCAAGAGAAGGGCAGAAAATGTGAGTCTATGACAGCAAGTTTTTATACTCCGCAGCTGCAGAATAGTATCAACATAAAATACTTCACTGGGTAAATTTATGGTTCCACAAACGTCCCTTTCCTCTAAATCATCCTCTTTGTGACTTGATATCTGCAAATCACCTTAAAACCTTGATGTTGAAATGTGAAATGTCAGAATGGGCCATCTAACGTTCATTCTTCTTGATAAACATGGAGGAGGATCTATCACATTGACACATGAGCCTTTGGAGGAGCCTAAGGTCTGGCAATTATGCATATGAACTAAGTATTTAAGTCTAATAATCAGGGAAGGATGATGGATAGGTCGTCCATCCTTGTAGGTCTAAAAATGTTTGCAAGAGCAGGATGGTACCCAAGTGGCACTCACAAATTCTGGCTTTTCACTAATGTCCACATGTTGTGTCAGTATTATCTCAAAACCTCATTAGTTAGACAGTGACCTTTGTTGCAATGGCTACCAGGCAAAGGCCTGGAAGAGGCCAGCATTTGATTAGTGCGACAATTTGTTCATTAACTTCTGACAAGAATTTGCAAGTCTCAAAGACATTTCTTTCCTGAAAAGGTCAAGATCTAACCATGGCATAGGGCTACATTTTGCAGGAGAGGGAAAAGCACCTGTCTTGTAAATATAGCTAGAACACAAATAATTATGTCGTTATACAACTCTTAGCTTGTGTTTCAATCATATAAATATCCAAATTTGAATATTTTTTCTCCAAGGCAGATAAATTCTAGCAGTGCAATCACATGTGAGTGAGAGGTAAGCCTCATTGAGTTCTATAGAGCTTATTCCAGATAGGTGAGTATAGAATTATTGCATTACATGATGAAAAATATACCTGACAGTGAATTCCCCTAACTGCTTTGCATGCTGTCCTGGGAAATATGAAGGTGCTTTTCAGTCTTAACTGTACATAATAATAAAATTTTCTACTATATGAAGCTGAAGGCTTAGAACTGAAAGGAGTTATATCTTATAATATTAGAAACATTGCATCAACATTTAGCCTTGCCTCAAATCTATTACCATTTCTACCAATACAAAAGTTATAGGCAAACAACTTGGGCATATTCAACACAGACCATGACTGTCTTCCAATAGTTCAAATTCCATACAGTTCTATAATCTCTTTATAGTTCTAAAAATTTGGATCAGAACATGCGATAAGGCTGTTCATCAACTTTTTTCTATCTGGGGATAGTCTCAGCAACTATTCAATAATTCTTTTTCTTGGGAACAAAAATGAAGACAAAGTGTCATTGCCAATACCAATATAGGTAGTCCTTGATTTAAAACAGTTCATTCAGTGACACTTTTGAAACTACAACAGCTCTGAATAAAGACAATTGCAACCCATGCCTGAAGTTTTGCTTTCCATTGCACTAATCACATGGATACCACCGGCTTTAAAAATTTCGGCGCTGAGACAGTCATCTCCAGGGGCCTTGTTATTTTTTAGCTTTTGAATGACTGCCGCAATTTCTAATCCTGATGGCGGCAAATCGTTGATATCATACGGCTGGTGATTTGGAGCATCTGTATTATCTGTTTCAGCAGTAATCGGTTCTGGTCGGTTCAGCAGGTCTTCAAAATATTCACACCACCTAGTCAATCTAGCTTCTACGTCGGTAATCTTGTGGCCAGTTTTATCTGTGATACACTGACTGACTGGGGTTGAATATTTCCCAGCAGTAACTCTGACCAATCTGAAGAACTTTCTGTAATCGCCATGATGTTGAGCTGATTCCAGTTCTGTGGCTAGCTGATTATAAAAGGTCTCTTTATCCTGCCTAGCACTTCTTTTAACTTCATGGGCAAGTTGGGCAGCTAATGGATGATTATTATTTGCAAGAGCTAG